AAAAAAAAAACCTCATATCACCACACACGTCTAATTATAAAAGCATTTGAGTTTAAATAGCTCCAAATACATTTTTAAGTGTAAGTCGACATAATCATTTTTCACCAAAATTTGAATTCATTCTCACCTGGCAATACAATTTATTTGAAGCGTATAACCGAACCAAAATGACAGGAAAGAAACAAACGAAGAACAAATGAAAAAAAAAAAAAAGAGAGAACAGAAGGATAACTTTTAAAAGAACGCACTTTATAAAAAACAAAACAAAACAAAACAAAACAAAACAAAACAAAACAAAAAACAGGTTAGCGAGTCAGAAAAGGAAGAAAGGAAAGAAGGATCTCCATACATTTAGATACAATGTGGCTTCTTAGCATAACCAAGTTCTCGCCATCCAAAACATCCCCTTCCCTGCTCTGGAGACTCAAGCCCCGCGTGGAACCGGCCGCTGGTTCAGCGCTCCCCGAACCCCCCCCTCAAACCCTGCCGCCCACGTCGCCCGCCCACGCGCTTACCTGGGAGCAAACTACGCAAGTGGGCTTCGCTCCTCGGGAAAGCCCAGGGACGGGCTGCGCGCCTATACAAAACAAGTGCCTCTCTTCCCTTTCGCCAGATGGGGCACAGGCCCTCCACGCAAGCACCCGCCACGAGTGTGCGTGTGCGCCCCGCGCTCATTATTCTCCAAGCCAGTCGGGAGGGGGGGGGGCGGCCCGGGTGAAGGAGGGTGAAGGACCGGAGGCGGGGAATCGTGGGCGTGGGGGGGGCTCTCGCTTGGAAATGCCTCCAAACCGACGTCGGAGCCCGGCGAGGAAAGAGACTTGACTCGCTCCTGCGGCTTGACTCCCAGACATTTTGGGGAGGCAGCGAGGCAAGAGAAGCGAGCTCCGCCCACTAAGCCCCGAGCTGCCGCCTGTTGCTTCGGCAAAAGCTGCAGTTGGAAAACTCCGGGACTCGCGGCGAGACGCGCACAGCACTTGGAGCGGCCGGAGCGAGCGAAGGAGCGCGGTGCCCGCGAGAAGCGGCGAGGTGGGGAAGGGGATCGGGTCGGTCTCCTTTCTTTTTTCTTTTTTCACCCCCCGTGTATGGATTTTGCCAACTGAGCCGCTTCCCGCCGCGACCGCCCGGGCTTATCATGCGCGCCTCGAGGTCGGCTTCCCAGGGCAGCTCCCGAGCCGAGTGATCCCTCCGCGGGGCGCTCCGCTCAGCTGCCCGCCCCCCCCCTTTTTAATGGTCAGCTCTTTCGTCCGGTCGCCGCCGCCGCCGCCGCTCAGCCCGTTGGCTTCCTAGATCTACACACACACGCACACACACCCGTGACGGAGATGCACGCGGCGGGGTGGTTCAAGCAGCTGGCGGCTCCCTCCCGGCTCGTCTGGATCTTCCTCTGGACTCTGGAGCTGCGGTGCGCCCTGGCGGACTTCACCCTGGAGAACGAGGTGCACTCGAGTTTCATCCACAGGAGGCTCCGGAGCCAGGAGCGCCGGGAGATGCAGCGGGAGATCCTGTCCATCCTGGGGTTGCCCCACCGGCCGAGGCCCCACTTGCACGGCAAGCACAACTCGGCTCCCATGTTCATGCTGGACCTCTACAACGCTATGTCGGTGGAGGAAGAGGGCCCCAGCGAAAGCGGCGAAGGGTTCTCCTACCCTTACAAGCCTATCTTCAGTACTCAAGGGCCACCCCTGGCCAGCCTGCAGGACAGCAATTTCCTCACCGAGGCAGATATGGTCATGAGCTTCGTGAACATGGGTGAGTCGCTGGCTGATGGTGGAAAGTGGTTGGGAGCGCTTGGGAGAAGGTGGTTGTTGGGAAGCCAGGAAGAACCTGATGGAGGTGGGACCAGCACCTGGTCCGAGGAGCCCCAAGGCTGGTGACCTACCAGAGATCTTTGGGCACTGAGGATACTTGTCCTAGATTCCCAGGTGCAGGTCCCTGGCCATCTGGCAGAGGCAGCCATCTTCTTCCACACCCCATGCTGATCTGAGAAGTATTGTGGGAAACAAAAATGACCCACAGTAATTGGGTCATTAAAGGCCTGCTTAAACCTGAACCTAGCCTTCCAGCAACCTTCTTTTCTCTTTATGGCTGGCATGAATCAGTCAGGAATTGTTGTTTATCTTCCTTCCAGACTTTTACTTGATTACTCACAGGTAAAAAAACTGAACTTGTTATTTTTTTTAAAGCCATCCTTTCTTATAGCTTCTTGGATCCTCTGTTAAGTGAACAGAATTTTGTTTGCTATTTTTCAAATGCGTAGACTTTCTCACCATTATAAAATAGTTTTGTTACTGGGATCCCCACATCAACCACATGGACAATAGTGTGTCTCTAAATGGCATGGTGTCTTCAGTGTATGCTTCCTGAAGTTGTGAAGGCCAAATCTGTGAATTGGGACTCCTGTCCAATTTTGGTACTTAGGAAGGTAGAACTAGAATTTATTTTATTTCTTAAAACCACATGTAGAGAGACACCATTAGATCAAAAGGGTGGATATTCTCAAGCGTGGTTGGGGTCATGAACTATGGGGAGCTATTATCTCCAAAATCCTTTTGTAAATCAATGTGGATTCTTACTAAGGTGCATTTATTCCAACCATATATCCTGGACAGTGAAAAAAAGAGTTAACTTGTTGGATTTGTTGAATTTCAGCAACTTTCCCCTCTAGATATGAGCCCCACCTGATTAATGAGTAACCAATTGTTGAGTGATCTTTAACTGTTCTTCAAGCCTATTACATATTTTTTCAAGCTACCCCTTGAAATCTTGCAATTAGCTGGCCTTAAAGGACCTTGGAAAGTGCACCTGCATGAATCTAAAGTTGCAATACCACACATTGATTTGGGAATGAGTGGCATTGCCTTTAGTGTATGAAAACAGAGGACTGGGAAAGATGACAAATTGCAGGACTTTTAACTAGTGAAATTAATTAATCTGTAATAGCGGAACCCATTATGTTCTACACTTGCAATAACGTAACTGGACAAACACTTTGCTTGCTCCTTGTGTCATCCAATGGACAGGTGACATTTTCTGCATTTTAATCTCCTTATGCATATTGTTGGGTTAGAGTCTGATAATGAAATCTTGATTATGCCCCCCCCCCCAAAACATTAGATTTATTCCTCAATGTAAACTAGAAACAAACAAATTGAACTTTCTTCTACTTAAAAATACGTATATGAACCTAACATGCAATCTTTGTTGTGGAGTAATGTGATGATACCATAGCCTCATCTAATCCACTAATTAAATATCCAGTGCAGGGTTGTGAAAATAGCCTCATATATGTTAAGCGTGAACAAAAGTTTGCTAAGAGATACCAACTGCTTATCAAGATGTGTGCAGAATTAGTCTAAAGAGCTCCTAGTTTTATTTGCTATCATGAACTGTTGTGCATCATAAATGAATTAATCAGTTTTATGTATACACTCTGGAAATTGCTCAGAGATACATTTGCATAAGATAACAGTTGATTATTGTTATCTTAAGTCTTATCACATATGCGCTTCTAGCTCTCTCCCAGCACTTTGCAGTGATGGTGAGTTCAATCCTGTGTCTGAGATCTCAAGGTTTAGGTAACAACTTGTAGTACATGTTAAAGGATTTGGATCGTGTTGAAGAGCAGTGGAGTTGCTGCAGAAGCATCTATAAATGGAAAAATCCCAGTGGAAAGAAGAAAGCTCAGAGCTGTTCTAAAAAGCTAGCTTGCTTTATTCAACGAAATTCTTTTCAGTCTGGTTTGTAGTCCACAAACTCATTACATATGATGCACTTTTTCAGATGAGGAAAAGGTTTGCTTTGGGGGGGGGGGGAGGCAAAGCAGGTTATGGATTTGAAACTTAATGACCTAAGAAAGATTTCCTGATAATTCCTTGTTTGCTGTGGCTTTGTAATGAGCAAAGCCTGAGCGCATGGCAACGGGTTAAAACAAATTAAAGGAAATTTGTCACTTTTCAGTTTGGCTAAGCTGACTTTTTTTAAAAAAATTGAGAGATATTATTCATGGGGGTTTCTCTTTGTTTGTTAATGGGGTTGAATAAACCAGCTGGATTTGAGTAGAATACTCTTTAGGGCAAAGTTCTATTTAAAATGTATAATTATAGGTACGAGTTTCTGTGTATCTGTTTTTAGCCTAGATCACGTGTTGTCTGTGAAACCACCACATGTACAGATTGGATGTCTCTGAATCCACACCAAATCTTTATAGAAGTTCAGAACAGAGAGAACTTTAAACGATTCCCCCTTCCCCAACCACCCAGCTTGGCCTAAACAAAGCCATAAAGAGGGACACACCCTTTGCATATGAAATGCCACAAATGATAGCCGGATTCTTCTTTCTTATTGCAACATGAGGTGCAGTGGCCTAGGGCTTACTGTCTGATTCTCCAAATGTCCACCCTGCTAAGAAAGTTGACTAACACAAGATAGTTTTGGGAAATGTTTCATGGACAGTCAATGAAGGGAAGCTGGCTTAAAACCTCTTTAATCAAGCTGGATGGAAATTCTGGGTGGTGAAGGCCAACATACCTGGTCAACAATGATCCAGGGAAAGTTGCCTTAAGAATGCATATTTGAGTAGTGAAGCCAAACTAACCACATTATGAGTTAACATAATGTGTGAACTTAGCCTACATGAAAGTTTAAGCAATTTTAAGTGAAACACTGAATAGGGAGATCTTAATTATCCTTATTTGGCACAATTTATATATTTCAGTTTCTTTGTTACTGTATAAATCAATGCATAGTTCATAGTGCATTATATTATATTTCTATGCAGGATATATTTCTATAAGTTGGAGACTTGTTCTGTCATGACACATGTATGCAATCAACCAATATTTCTCACCCTTGGTAACCTTTAGACGTGTGGTTCTCATCTTCCCGAATTTCCCAGCCAGCATGCTGACTAGGGAATTCTGGGAGTTGAAGTCCATACATCTTCAAGCTGACAAAGTTGAGAAACACTGAAATCAACTGGTAAAAACTGGTTGTGGTCTGAACTAACTTAGTCCATGTGAATTTGGATGGGGAAGAAAATCCTTGTTCCTAAACCGTTCCCTCAGATTCTGTGTGAATTATTCTAGTACTGAATTCATGCACTTTTACTATCACACACTCCAGTGAACCAAACATAACCCAACGTGTGAGCTTCACAGAGCAGGTGAAGTCACACACACACATACATCTTTTAAGTAAAATCTAAAATTATCCAAGTTTATGATGTTATGATAGTATAAGTCCTGAGCATTAAACTGAATTAAATGTATGGTGTGAACACAGTTCTAGAAAAAGTAGAATAGCATAGTGTTTCCCAGCATACCTGGCTGGGGAATTTTGGGCATTGCAGTCCACACATCTCCAAACTACCAAGGTTGACAAACATTGCATCTATGGGAAATCATGTAAACCTCCCCCTTCTCAAACCATGGAAAACTAATCCATTTAGTTATGCCACTAATATGGATTGGGCTACACACTGTAGTAGGAAACATGCTGTTCTGGAAATAATGATTCTATCATAGTGATATTTTCTCTCCGTTAGTGTGGCTTTTCACTAGTAAACTGATAGGAAAGATTCAGTAGTTTTCACATAGGCAGGTGGAATGAAGTGAGTTTTCTCTGCATGGGTTTGTTCCCTTGTCAAGAATGCATGCCAGGGCATGTTCAAGAAAGGACATAGATCTCTAATAGCTTTCTTCATCCTTGTGTACACCTTTCATCCCATTATAGCTGCAGGTCTTTCATCTCTGTAGGACAAAGGCCATCTTGTTTATAGACTTTTAAATGAATTAGACTCATAGCTCACCAGACTATATAGTCAAGCCCAGCACCTGTTTTGGAGCCTACAGATTTCTATTGACAGTGAAAATTAGAAGATCTATTGTCAGGGAGATTTCCCTCCTCTTTTAATTGAAAGCTTTCTATAGCAATCTTTCAAAATTGCAGCCTCTGTATTAAACTGTGCCATGGTTGAGAAAAAAGATACCCTTGCGGGCATTGTGTTTCTCAGGTAGGGTCTTGTTACATATGTTGAACTATTGCAGCAGAGAAGTGTCATAACACAAAACTGAAAATGTATTGCGGTGAGGAACTGTTATAGCCCTAAAAAGGTTGCATGTCGTTAAAAGGCTGAAATAAAGCAACTCTATATTTGAAATAATTCAGTGTAACTTATTCTCTCTCTTTCTCTCTCTCTCTGTCTCTCTCTGTATGTGTGTGTGTGTGTGTTTGTGTTTTAAATTACATCTTTTTCTCACTTTTCTTTGCCTCAGCTACTAAGAGCTAAAGAATGAGTTTTCAAGAAGGTGCAAAGTGGGTGAGCTTTGCAGGGATTGGTGAAGATTTAAAAGATTTTGTATTAGGAACAAATAACCCTTTATAAAAAAAGACAGAGCGGCTTTGTAAGTTGTAAAGAAGCATCAAAAGATAAAGGAGGAATAAATGGTGCTTATTTTTTTTCTCTTGCTGTGGTTAAGTAATTCTGTCATTCTGTCATGCTATATGTAAGGTACAGGGTGGTTATAGGTAGTCCTCCAGAATTGAGACCAGAATTTTGTTGCTAAGCAAGCTGGCTGCTTTGTTGTGAAGACTGACTGTGTGTAACTTTTTTCAGTGCTGTTGTAAGGCTGCTAAACTAACAGTTGTAAATCAACAACTACATGTAGTGAAATTGGAACAGCTGTGGAGAAGATATACAATATGAAGTTATCAAAAAAGGAAGCAGAAAAAATAGTATTTCCTTATAACCA